TCCTGGATAGAGCTGGAACCCATTCTACTAAGTGAAGTATCCCAAGAATGGAAAAACAAGCACCACATGTACTCACCATCAAATTGGTTTTAACTGACCAACATATAGAAATAACATTCACTGGGTGTTGGGCAGATGGGAGATGGAGGAGGAGATGGGTATATACACACCTAATGGGTGCAGTGCTCACCACCTGGGGGATGGACATGCTTGAAGCTCTGACTTGGATGGGGCAAGGGCAATCAATATATGTAACCTAAACATTTGTACACCCATAAGATGCTGAAATTAAAAAAAAAAAAAAATTTTGTCCCCAGAAGAACATTGATTTGACTGAGATCTCATTGAAATAGAATCTGAAGATTCTTACTGAAATAATCATTTAACTTAAAATTAAAATCATAGTTAAAAACAATGGCTTAATAATCTAACAATCTTAACAATCTAAAACAATGGCTTAATATCTACATCCCTAATGATAGCTTACTTCTATAAATACAAGCTGCTATTATTCCTTGAGGTATACTCTATTTTTCAGAAAACAATGGTTTCTTAAGACAGTATCTTTGTGGGGAAGAATAAAAAAGTAATAGTATGCTGAGTAAATCAGGAAAATTTTACCCATATTGTGTGTTATCCTTTTACCATTTTTAAATTTAGTTATTAGAATATATCTTCTAAAAATAGATTTCTATGACCTGACAGGTAAAGTACAATCATTTTTCAGTTTCCAAAATAATTCCATACATCAATTTGTTTCTCATAGTAAATCATTAGAATAGATATTTAGTCCCCATCATTATTCCATTTGATAGAACAGAAAGTATGTTTCAGAAATGTTTATTAATAGATGTCTAAGGCTACAAGGCTTCTAGAGGTGAAGTCACAACCAGAGCTTTTTGATACCATGCTCTTTTGCTTTGGGCATCATTTATAATTCCAGAGACATCCCCTTGCCCAGAGGGAAATCAACCCCAAGCTCCATTTCTATAACCTAAGCTACTCTTGGGACATTTCATTTTCCTTTCCCTACCTTCTTTTTCAGTCTACAATTTGGAAGTATAGGTGGTTTTTCATTTGGGGGTGACTTTGACATTAAAGATGAAAATAGTATGAGAAGTCTTGAGGTGTAATTGTTACTTACTGGAGAGAAAAGACTCCTTTTGAGTTCTGGCTAAGGCATAGAAATAGCCTTGCTGCATTCTCTCTCTCTC